TAGATGGTAAACTAAAAATAATATACTATAAAGTGTGTATGAAATTTTATAAATTATAAAAATGTTTATTTATTATAAATACAAGCTTAATCTAAATGAATTACAACCATTAGATGGTAGAATATCTTAGAATATCTAAGCATATTCTAAATATATCCACTACTATCCCATTCCTCTACAGATTTGTTTAATCAAACCAAGGAGAACATAGTAGAAAGTGTTTAAACAAGTTTATAAATTATAAAAACAAAATTAATCTAAATGAATAACAACCATTATATGGTAGAATATCCTAGCATAACCCAATTTATTCTTAGTATATTCATTACCATCCTAATCCCCCTACTGTTTGCTTAAGCAAACCAAAATAAACTAATAAAAAGTAAAACGATTTAAGATTATAAACATTATAAAATGAATTAACCTAAAACATAATATGCTAAGAATATTTAAAACTCTCAACACAGCAAACCAAAAATAATGTTAACACAGTGAAGGTTAATGAAGACATAAGATTATTTTTTAATGACTATGCATTAAAAATAAGGAAATAATAATAATTTTTTTTAATGTATTTACTTAAAATTAAAATTTAAAATAGAATTACAAGTATGTTTTTGTATGTTTATTTCAATTATATTGATGTCACTATTTTAGTGTTAATCATATGATTTATAAGTTTTTATAGGAGAGGAGTTGAAAATATATTTTATTTGAAATAAAAAATTAATATTTAAATTTAAGTAATTACCTACTTTTACAAGAGTTTCCTGTTCTCACGGCTGGTATGGTCGGCATTCCTGCCTTCCATTGCCCCAGATGGGATTTTCGAGCCAGGGGAATTAGATCGGTCGGGCCTAAAACCCGTGCTCTTCCGCTAGCAGTAGATTCCAGCCAGGGGGATTGGATTGCATGCATTTTGTAAATAGGTTTTTGTATCATGTATCTAACTGAAATCTTTGTCAAAATAACATTTTAGGGTTCTTGCGGGTGTAGGGTTTTAGGATGAATGAGGCGCGTCCTGGTGCTGCTGAAGCGAAGCGCATACGATCTCTACGTCGCGCGCCATCGGGATCCGGCATTCGTCAACGGGAGCGCCGAAAAAACGAAGGTAGAGCCCGCGGATGTTTTCTTGCAAATCTATGGACATTGCGAGTAGGAATTCTAACTCTTCTTCTTCGTGCTTCTAATTCGCGACCTCCAGGTGGTTGAAAATCTTTTAGATCGGCACAGAGTACATGAATCCACGGTGCAGAAATGCAAGGATGTCCTTGCAAACATGTCCCTGTCCTGGGACTTGCTTCTTCGGGATGAGCTACACTCACCTATACGAAATGTGGACCTTGTTGTCACCGTGGGAGGGGATGGAACTTTGCTACAAGCGAGTCACTACTTGGACGATTCCATTCCCGTTCTTGGAGTAAACTCGGATCCAACCAAGACCGACGAGGTTCGTGTGTGCCTAAAGTTTTAATCTAGTCAAGTTCTATGCTAACTTTTTTTCATCTTTTTTTTTTCTTTGGCGTGGTTTTCTAAGGTGCAGGAGCAGCAGATGGAGGAGTTTGATGCTACACGAAGTCGAGGATACTTCTGCGCTGCTACCAGCGAGGATTTCGAGCAGGTTTTTGATTCCTCCAAGCTTTCCACTCGGAAAAACAATGAAAGTTCTTTGTTTCAGGTGCTAGGCAAAGTCATCAGTGGCAAACTCCAACCAAAAACTCTACGGAGGATTTCTACTACAATCGATGGTACTTTGTTCTCGACTCCCGCTCTCAATGACGTTTTGCTCGCTCATCCAAATCCAGCTGCCGTGAGCCGATGCACTTTCAGGTTCGTGTTGTTACTTTTTTTCTTCTTTGTCTATGTTTTGACGTTGTTTGATTCCAGCGTCGTCAACCAGCAAACAAAGTCGGGGTCCTTGATACACTCTCGCTCCAGTGGCTTGCGCGTTTGCACGGCGGCTGGATCGACCGCCGCGACGCTCTCGGCTGGAGGATTTGCAATGCCGCTGGAATCGAAAGAGCTCCAGTACATGCTGAGAGAGCCGATCCTTCCACACCCCAAGCAGAAGAATCTGATGCACGGTTTCGTTGGCTCAACCGAGGCTATTCAAGTTACTTGGGGCTGTCGCCAGGGATCCATCTATTTTGATGGCGCTCACGTCTCGGCTCCCATCAAGTTTGGCACTGTCGTGACGATCTCGGCGAGTGGACCTCCTGTCAAAGTTTTCCTCGAGCAGTGATCACAGAACTCAAGAACAGAAACGATCATCGTTTCAGTGACAACATGCGGAGATTTCAAGCGAAGACTGACTTTATAATCTGATGATCGACCATCACTTGAAGCAAAAGCGAAAGGGAAAGCTAGATCGATCAAATGAAACTTTTTCGCTTCATCAATGTACATAGCTGGACGGTTTGATTGATAAAATCTTAAAACTACCAACTTTTGCGAGCTCCATTTAACCTCCAAGCTGTGACCTTGCAGCAGCCATTTTTACGCCATGGAAGCTATTAGAATGGTCCTTCTCCACCTTATCCCGCAATCTCTACAAGCAAAAACAACCACAATTATTTTTCTTTTTTACAGCCTATAAAATATAATATATATATATATTTTTGGATCAAGAAGAATGTTGGAAACAATAATTCATCCATATGAGAATGTCTTGCCTTTACAGGTAAAAATTAACTGTCTTGTGCAATTGTGGGAGCTACTCCAGGGCATGATGCCTTGCAGGTAAAGGAAGATCACATGAATCACAGAGCGAATATGCCCACCACCTTTCTTTTGCCAAGAATAAAATATGTAAAAAGCGCAAGGGAATGTTTTGATGAATTTTGTTCTGGTATTCCAACCACCAGAATTGGCTTCCAAGGTTGGTACTTCATCATGATCAAAAAATTTTAATACAATGTGTTAGCTGTTATTGTCCAAACAATCATCCATCCGAGTTAAAGAGCACAGCGTTAGTTTTTTTTTACCTGTCCAGGCTGGAGCCGTACAGGTGCAGCGTTGGCAGGCGGTGACCACGACCGACAGGTGGCGCATGGATCTAGCGGCCAGCATGGCGCCACGCCAGCACGACTCAGTCCCGGCCGTTGGATCGCCTGGCAAGCACTAGAGACAGGGAGCTTCTCACGGGGACCGCGCGGTGTACTGCGCGGGGAACTCGCGCAGTGTAGTTTTTTCACATGGAGCTCACCGCGCGGGGCCATTGTATTCTCTTCCTCTGTTCTAGGATTTTGGGCATTTCAATGGCGGAGTGGAAGAGCATGGCGCCGCGAAGAACAGGCGATGCCGAGGCGATGCCGCTCCAATGCGGATGGGAATGAGGTCGGTCTCCTGTCTTGCTCGATTCGATTCCTGGAAATCTTCGATTGCGCGCGTCGCAATCGCGGGATAATCCCAGGCCTGCATGCCAGGGCTTGGTGAAATTCCTCCTCAATCGACACAGGGATTCACTCTCTCTCTCGATTTTTCTTCCTTCCAGCGCAGGTCTCCCCCCCAGGACGGCATTGGAATGCCTGCGCGATACAATGCTGGAGCCATGGCGGCCAGCGATCTCCAGGCCAAGAGGAGCCGCCGGCTAGCCGCCCGATTGGAAGGGGAGCGCCATGAGTTTCACGAAGAGCGGCAAAGGTTAGCGTCTCAGTAGCTCCATCAATCGTAGCTGGGCAACGTAGGGGGGAATTTTATAATTAATGGCAGGGAAGGGAAGAAGAGATAGAAATGGAAGAAGGAAGCGATCAGAAGAGCTGGGCAGAGTGGCAGCCAAATACTCAGCGGTGGCAGCTCTACTGGCGCTACTCACATTGATCGTCACACCCGCGACTGGCCGAGAGCTCCAAGACGATGATCCATCGCGGAAGGATTTTTCTCATTGGAAACTCTTGGAGGACAACGAGAACGTCGTCAAGGAAGAAGTGGAAGATAAGTTGGCCGACTTGGACAGGATCCTCCAGAGCAGCGCCTTCGCTTCATTCGGCCACCCGGTAGTCACAGGCCAAATCTACGACGTCTCGGTGAGGAATTCCTCGCTGAGCTCGCGGGTGATGGTGAGGACGGTCAGGCTCAAGATGGGAAGCTTGGTTCATCGCGGTTTCACTCTCGAGGAGTTTAGCATTCCAACGCGGGCGGGGCCATTCGGGGTGGCGAGGATAGTTCTCGTCTACCGACGATTCATCGGCAAGCTCTACGAGCCCAGGGATCTGATCATCGTTTCTCCGGTTCTCGGGATCAAAGTCTACGACGCAGTGAATCTCTCGGCGACCAACGCTCCCGAGCTGGATTTCGTTTCGAGAGGCCTGGACAACGTCACCGTCCGGATCCCAGTCTCCAGAACCGACGTCACCGGCGTTCCTCAGTGCGCCACCTTTGACGCGCTTGGAAACGTTTCCGTGAGCAGCGTGACGAGCTCCTCATCGCCGGGAGCGTCCTCGTACGTGTGTTCTTCCAGAAACTTGGGAGACTTCGCGCTGGTGGTGCCACTGGGATCGATTGCTCCGGCTTCCGGCCCGGCCGCCGCTCCACTGCCGCTAGCTGCTTCGCCGCCACCACCCGGAAGATCTCGGCGGCGGAGGTCGAGGAAGTGGAGGGTGATCCTGGGAGCTGTTCTTGGCAGCGTCGCGGGGCTGGTTTTGCTGGGCTTGATCGCCGTGGCCGCGACGAGGTACCGCAGGAAATCGAAGCTCTCGAAAATGGAGCAGCACTCCGATCGAGGAGAGATGCTCCAGACGTCGCTCATCGGTGGAAGCAGGGCGCCGATCGCTGGTGCTTCTCGTACCAGGCCAGTGCTGGAATCCGACTACGCTGCTTGATCCTGATCGATCGATCCAATCGCGAAGAAAAAGAGTGTCAGTTCCTGATGATCCAGCTCCCTCATCGATCCTTCTGATTTTTTTGTGCTTTGTTCTTCTCTTCACGAATTTGTTTCTATATGTATTGACTATCTTGTGTGTTCCAAGCGAATAAGACTGGGTTCCATTTCATTTGATGGTATTCTAGGGTTTATCCAAGAAATGCTCGATGCCGGGAGCAATCTCGATCGATTCGAGCAGCGGAGTCTCCATCTCGGCAACAAATCGGTGAGCATCCACGGCAGGAGTGGAAATGTGGCCGGCGCGCGCGAGGTCTTCGATCGCATGCCGTGGCGCAGCGTCGTTTCTTGGAATTCCTTGATGCTGAGCTACGCCGAGAATATGAGAGGGGAGATCGCGCTGGAAATCTTCCACAGGATGAAGATCGAGGGCGGCGAGCCGGATTCTCATAGCTTTGTGGCCGCGATCAAGGCGTGTGGCAGTGTGATTGATCCGGAATCGATGGCGCGAGGGTTGAATCTCCACAGCGAGGCGATCGAGATCGGCTGGGACTCCAACACTTTTGTGGCGACGAGCTTGATCAACATGTATGGGAGATTGAAGAGGTTGGATCACGCGAGACGGGTACTCGAGGCCATGGATCCAGGGAAAAGAAACGTTGTGGCGTGGAACACACTGATTCTTCGCTACGCTGAGAATGGCGATGGAGAGCTCGCATTGGAGCTCTTCGATCGGATGAGAAACGAAGAAAGCTGCGGTCCAGATGCTCGAACTTTCGCTGCTGCTGCCAAGGCTTGTGCTGCCATCGCCACGACAGGAAAATTCAATAGCGAGAAGAAGAAGAAGATTAATTTCATCGATGGAGAGCTCGTGAAGAGGGGCATGGAGATCCACGAGCTGGCTTCCAAGCGTGGCTTGGACACCGACACCTACGTTGGAAACTCTCTGGTAAATATGTATGTCAAGTTTGAGAAACTTGTGGAAGCTAAGCGTGTGTTTGACAGGATTTCTCATCGCAGCGTCGTCTCTTGGAACTCTCTTCTTCTCGGGTATGCTCAGAGTGCTAGTCACAGCGGCTTGGCCTTGGATCTCTTGGGAAAAATGCTAGCACGGGGAACTCGAGGCTGCCAGCCGGATGGCCGGACTTTCGTTGCTGCGGCTCGAGCATGCGCTTGTCTTGCCGACAGAGAAGGCCAGACTCGAGTCGGGGACAAGCTGATGAAGATCACGTCCTTGGAGCAGGGAATGTTTTTTCATTCTCGCGCAGCCACAAGTTTACGTGACGGTGAGGTCGACATCTTCGTGGCAAGCTCTCTGGTGGACATGTACATGAAGTGTGGGAGTCCGCAGGATGCCAGACACGTCTTTGACAGGATGCCGCAGCGTAGTGTGGTTTCCTGGACAGTTTTGATGGCGGGGTACGTCGAGAATGGGGAAGCCGAGCTGGCTTTGGAGGTTTTTACGCTCATGCAAGCAGAAGCGGCCGAGGAAGTGGTTCCAGCGGCATTTGTTCCGGCAGCCAAGGCTTGCACTGTTCTAGCGGCCAGAGAAGTTCCAAAAGAAGTCGATGGAAGAAGAAGGCCTGTGAAGATGAAGTCGCTGGAGATGGGAATGGCGATTCATTCCCGGGCCGGAGAAGCTGAGACCGACGATTTCCTCGCGAGCGCTCTCATCGACATGTACTCCAAGTGCGCGAGCGTGGTGGACGCCTTGAAAGTTTTCGACAAGATGGTCCACCGCGACGTGGCGTCGTGGAATGCGTTAATTCTGGCCTGCGCTGACAACGAGCAAGACGAGCTTGGTTTGGAGCTACTCCGGCTCATGCAGGATGGTGGCGACTGCGCACCAAACTCTCGAACCTTCGCTGCTGCGCTCAAGGCCTGTGGTAATTCTCTCCTGAAGTGCAAGGCTCTAACAGCAGTTCTTGCAGAAACTTTCAGACATACCAGCAGTGGTCCTGGCCCTGGGAGCGATTGTTTTCTAGATGCTGCTCTCGTCGACGCTTGTAGCAAATGTGGGAGTATGCTCGGCGCTCAACAGGTATTTGATTCAATCTCTAAGCCGGACTTGGTTATCTGGAATGCGTTGATCGCAGGATACAGTCGTCAAGGAGATGCCGCGCGCGTTTTTCGTCTCTTCCATCAGATGCAAGACGAAGGCATACGAGCGGACGAGGCCACCTTTGTGGCTCTCCTCACGGCATGCAGCCATGCCGGGCTGGTCGAGCGAAGCAAAAAGTATTTCGGCGAGATGCGCACAAGGTATGGTGTGAATCCTGGTCGCGAGCATTGCAGTTGCATGGTCGATATACTTTGCAGAGCTGATGAACTGGACGACGCTGTGGCCATGGCCGAGTCCATGCCTCGTGAAGGAGGAGTGAGTGCTGTGGCATGGATGGGAGTTTTAAGTGCCTGCTCCAAGTCTGGAAACGTTGCTCTGGGAAGGCTGGCATTCGACGCGTTGTTGAAAATGGACAAAGCCGGCGACGCAGCTTACCAGATGATGGCAAGCTTATATGAAAGAAGGTAAGAACTTGGAAATCTTCTAGACGATGCTCAAGCAAGCCTTGATCAGGACCGCTATGGAGCTCTTTCTTTCCAGCAGTTCTTGCAGAAGTGCCGAGATTGTCGCGCTCTATCACAAGTCCGGAAAAAAGTGGACGGTCGCAACTAGCAGCACGCGATTGAAACTCTCCGCTGGAATCATCCAAACGTTTTCTCTCCCATTTGGATCCTGGAAGAAGGTATCGATCGATAGATCGACCAAGCAAACAAATGGAATTTTGTTTACCTTAACAGGCCGTGCGGTGGTAAGAACCAAGTCGACCTCGTACTTTCTTTTCTCCGGCCCAAATCCAGCACTGGACTTGCATTGCTCTGGATCAGTGCTGAAGAAGCTCGCGAGCAAGGCCTTGCGATCTATCCCATCCCTGATGTAACGCATGCTCTCATCCCTGTTTGATCCAAGGAAGAGATACGTGAATGGACCATCTTGCCTGTCCGGCAGTATGTTATCCACGGTGGCTGTGCTAGAGAAAAAGAATTGAGGGAGAAGGATCAAAGAATTCCAGAAGCATACCATACCTCTCCGCGTGAGCACTGATCTCGCGATGGATTCCGACCGGCAATGCGCTACGAATCGGCGAAATATTTCCATGAGCGAGGGGTTGAAGAGGATCTTGTCCGGCTGCGCAATCTGCCAGCGGCTATGGCGGAGCATGCGATCGATGGACTGCATCACGAACGCCGGGTGGATTAAGGAGCGAACGAGCGGCTCGACTGGAGATACAGGCGCCGGCATCGCGATCGCGTAATTCGTCGTCTCCGCCTGGAACGATCTCGATCGAAAACAATAGAAAAAGCAAGAAAGAAAAGATTTCGTGCAAGGATAGAAATCTTGCTCGCTCACCGCGGAAGAGTTTATCGCCATCACAGGCATTGCTCCATCGCTGCCAAGCTAGGTCTTGTGCGATGAATATTTCTCCCGCGGATTCTTTGAGCAAGGAAATCACCGTCGGATGGAATCCAACGGTTTGTGTTTGACATCCTCTGCCACCGTCGGATACCATCCAACGGCTCCATTTGAAACACCACTTTATACCGTCCGATGGAATCCAACGGTTTGTGCTGGTTGTGCTACCTCCACCGTTCGATACCATCCAACGGCGTTATTAGGACGAATTTCTCTCTCGCTCTAGCGCGGACGCTACTGTGGGATCGCGCCGCTGTATCCAAGCCTCTTGGACGAGCTCCGCCACTTCGCGCTCTCCAGATCATCGGCCGGGGCTTGCATCACTCTCGACAAGGCGCGTTACGATGTTTGGGAATCAGTGTCCACCGAGCACTTTGAGTTCTTCGGCGCTTCTTTCGTTGCTCTGGCGCTGGATCTTTGCCGCTACTCCGAGGTCGAGGATGCTCCTATGGCAGTCGGGTGGGATCAACTGGATTCTTTCCTTTGAAAGCTGGAAGATCTCTTTCTTTCTTCGATCTAAACCAGATTGTAGGGCCTCAAGAGGCAGAATGAGAGCGGGACTATCGTCGTCGACCGAGAGGCAATCGATTTACGTAAGTTCTAGTGCCAGCTCTCTCCATTTCTCGACGCTTGAACGTGATCCAGGACTTTGTGAGATGCATCGCCAGTTGAAGCTTCACGATCCTGTGAGCTCGCAACACGAGCTCGTCGAGGTCTCTCGCGACGATGTGTTCGAGTGACGGAGCCTCTCTGCCAGCTTTTCTTTACGTGGCTCTTGGCGAAGCCTGAGCGCTTTCAATCAAGCCGTGGAGGTGCTCAAGTACATCCTCCGTCATACCAGCATCAGCGATGCGGATCGACAGGGGCCGATGAAGCTGCCCATGCCGCCACAGCTTGCGGAGGAGCTGCCAGTGGACCTGGCAATAGTGTTTGCTCTCAACTCGAACAAGCAGAATGTCATGAAGCCACTCTCCTCGGCCGGTCTGGAGCAGCTGGAGAGCTGGCTTTGGTTTCGGATGGGGACGATACATCAAGCGCTGCCATTCAGGATATACCAAGCCTGCCAGCATCACTCATCCAGAAGCTCATTCAAGTTATTGTTAGCTCCATTGTTTCTTTCAGCTTTCACTAACAAAATAGAGCTCGTTTGGATGCAGGACGTAAAGGCTGCAGATGGTGATTTTCAAGTAGTGACGATCGCGAGCAGAGGCTTCAATGAGCTCGTCACCAAAATGGAGGTCCACTCGTCGGTTTTGGAGCTCGAGTGCAGTGAAACAACGGTGATCATGGCTCGGCTCTTCCACTCGTGGCTGCGCTGCTGCGGCGGCCAGTTCAAGCACAAGCTCATGGTCGATCAGATCAGCAAGGACTACACCCTGATGGGATGGCCGCCATGCAAGAACTTGTCGCTCCTGCAGGAGGTGCGATCAACTTTGATCATGAGCAGCCATGGGTTTTTACCGCTCGAACAAGCTCGGGACCGATACAAGATATGGATGCGGAGTGTCCCCGAGCGCCTCCGAAATCTCAAGTGCGACAAGAGCTTTGCAACTTTGTGGCTGCGGTGAGCATGGAAGACATAGACTGCAGTAACTCGAGCTATATAAGCATGGAGATCCTGGAGCAAATGCGCTGCCATGCAGCTGCAGGAAGATACCACCTCTTGAGGCCACTCCTTGGTGAGGATGAATCTAGCGAGGATGGCGGCGCAAGTCATGTGGTTAGACATTTTGTGGAGGTTCTGCAATACATTCTCTTTTTTTCTTCGATGTCCTCTTAACCTTATGTTGCAGGAGTTGCGATCCTGGAAGCGTAGTGACATCTGGAGCGACGTTGAAAACTTTTGGGAGGACAGCTACGACTATATGGTGCCAGATTACTATAGTGCTGATTTTCCAGGTCGATCAAGTCCCATAATTTGGAAGTTCTCTCTTAAACCTTCCTGGTAAACTGGTCATGTAGGCGCTATGAGACACTATGTGGAGCATCACTTGGCAAAGGCAACAATAGTACTGTGCAAGGATGTGACGGAACCAGTGCTTCGAACCCTATACACTTGGCAAAGACACCATGACTTTGGTAGTCTTGGAACTGCAGATCCAAAGGCTTTGGAGAGCTTGATGTATTGCTCATACCTCCATGGAGGAAGCAACTTGCTTGAGGCTACTGAACAAGACCTTAAGGAACGTACCTATGCAACAAGCACTGACACAGTCGCTCTTGTGATAGGAGAGTGCCAAGTTGGAGCATTGGTGCATAGGCGCATTGTGGTATTAAAGTGTTGTCTTCATTGTTTTTTGGTTTTGAGAGTTCTAGTGCATGGATGACAAGACTTCAGGAGAGTAGGCAACTTGAAGTATTTGATTATATAATAAAAAAATTCTGTCCATTTCATTGTTTGGTTTGCTTAATAGTAGTGTTAGTATTATATATTAATCCAATTGATCAATTATTAACACAACTAGAATATACTAGGAAGTGCTAAAAAAATTAACATATTTATAAATTGTAAATCAAAAATATCCCTAAATATCCAAGGACATTCTAGGTATATCCACTACCATCTCTAAATATTTGCTTAAGTAATGATTTTTTAGGTGTGCTTAATAGTAGTGTTTATTATTTATTAATCCAATCAATCAATTGGAACTTTATAATTATAAAAATATTTATAATTTATAAACACAAGATTAATCTTATTTTCTAGGAAGTGTTTAGGTAAGTTTATAAATTATAAATACAAGAAATGAATAAAAACTATTAAATGGTAGAATATCCTAGAGTATACAGGTATATTTTACCTACCTCACTCTTCAAGATTTTAGAATATATTTTATAGTATAATAAAACAAACAATAACATGGTAAGAATAGATATTTCTATGAAGTAAAACTAGTTAAAATTAAGGTGTAAGTAACCAAAGAGAGAAAATCCATTAAGGTTTCAATATAAAGCTTATAAAACCCATTAGGTTAGAGTTTTGGCATATTTGAGGTTAGATATTTTTTAGTTTTAGTTTGAATAGTGTTGGGTTGGATAACTAATCTAGATTCAAGGGTTTATATTTAGTATCATAAGAGGCCACACCATATGTTGAAATTACACCACATGTTAAAGTTAACTAAAGGAATCACACTATATATTAAAGTTAGCTAAAGAAATCATATTGAAATTAATATCTAATGGTCTAGTTTACTTTGATCCATTAGAGTTTTAATATAAATGGAAAAGGCTCCATTTTTCCAATTGGTTAAGGGTCTTAAGATATTTAGGGTTTAATTTCAGGTTGATGCAAATTGACATATAATAGTTTAGTTTACTCTGATTCATTAGGGATTTAATTAAGGTTTTAATATAGAGGGAAAGGGCAGAGGTGGTCTAAACTTGAGTTGAGTTTAACTCAAGACAAGTAAACTCAAGTCAACGCAGTCAACTAGAAATTTTACAAAATAAATATAAATTGAAGAAATGAAAGTTTTGATGAACTTTAAAATATTAAAACATGGAAGTACATGGGTAAAATATTTCTATAAGATTGAGTCCTTTAGAAAAATTAAAGTTTATAAGAATCTATCGTTTTTATAGCTATATTATTTTACTATGAACTATTTTTACAATTGCCACATTTTGGTTTTTTTAGTTTTTGAAACATTTTAACAACTAAACATTATTAGTTTATATTGGCCAAGGCAATATATATTTATATATTATTCTTTCATTTGAAAGATTTTTCTAAAGTTCTTGAGAAAATAGGAAGCATAGAAACAAAAGATCTATGAATAAGAGTTATAGTGCAAAGGAATGTAAGAATATTAATTTCATTTCACTACCACAATTTTTATATTACACTTTTGGTCCTTATTACTTATCCGAGAATGTGGAGACTATTGTCACAATTGATAAAAATGCTCTTGTTATTTATAAATCAACAGTGTAGAGCAAAAGAAATAAAGAAATAAACAACATGGCAAAAAAACACTAATAAATCTACTTTATA